GGATCTTTCCTGTGAGAATTTGTAATCTCCTCTGCTTATTGGTCTTTAGACTAACTTGTAATCAAGCTTTAATGGCAGAACTTTTACTTCGTGGAACTGTAACAATCCTGTCCTGGCTAGTTGACCTAAATTCTTGCCAAACTCGTTACTCTCATTAACTTCTCTAGTACTCTCCCCAAAATTTGAACCCCAAAATTTGAACCCCAAAATGCAGCCTCTTAGAGTCATAATTGGCTTACTCAAGTGTGCCCTAATCTCCTAGAGTTTGTAGTATATAGAGTTTAAGTTAGAGTTTTAAAATTTTGTATTTCCATTTCACTTTTGAGTTAAATTATTTTTCCAGTGACAAGACCAAAATATTTCTTTCGCAGTGTGAATTCATGACTAAAAATGCTCCCATGAGCAAATAAAACTTGTTTCAAGCTGACATCTCTAGACCCCTTTTAATCCACATATTTCTGGGGTTCTACAGTAAATTTTTAAGCTGATGTTCACATTACTCAAGTTTGAGAACTACTAAGCTATTAGGTAGAACCTCAAAATCATTTTTTTCTTTTAAAATTGTGGTCATGGGGCTCATAACATACTTCCAACAGGGGTGCCTGGGTGGCGCAGTCGGTTAAGCATCCGCCTCTTGGTTTTGGCTCAGCATGTGATCTCAGGGTCATTATCTCAGGATTGTGAGATTGAGCCCTGAGTCAGGCTCCATGCTCTGCATAGTCTGCTTGGGACTCTCTCTTACTCTCCCTCTGCCACTCACTACTGCGTGCTCCCTTTCTCTCTCAAAATAAATCTTTAACATATTTCCAACAGAATGGATAGGCTTTAGGTCTAACCACTAAACTGTACTTGGACATAGTAGGTAAGTCACTATAAAGGGAGAATTGCAACAGGCTCTTTTGATTAGCCCGATAGGAGCAGCATACTCTAGTGGAAGAACTGGAAATATTTTAAAGGAAGCTAGACTTACTGGAATTCGAATGTTCCTAGTTATGAGAACTTGGTCAGGTTAATAGGTTGAACTTTAATAAATCTCGAATTGGGGCAATCATATCACCCTAGAAGGATTGCTTTGAGAAAGAGATAATCAATGTGAAGTAATATGAGTATCTAGCATTTGGAGGCAGTTAGTGGAAGGTAGCTGTTATGATTATAAGCAAATATTTATGGACTAAGTTGGTATATTCTGATATAGTTGTATGGATGGATTTTAATTTTTAAGAGCTTCATATAGTTTATATCTAATTTGGGGTATTAGGAGTACTGCATATGGAGCAAGTTATCCCTAAACCTGGTACAGATTTAAAGCATACTGTCAATACAATTTTAGATGAATTAATGGTGATACACCCATCACATTATAAAGAAAAGGTCAGGACTTGAGGCATCCATGCCTGACCTTTAAGGATCACATTTCAGAAGCTTTCAGCTATCCTAGCTGACTGACAGCTATCGAGGCCTTGACTTCTATGTGCAATAATCTTGATCTTAGTAAAATGGGTGGATTCACATAAGAAAGCCATTTTCATGCCTTTGTGTTTTTCAAAATCTGATATTGAGGTTATTTCTGTTGTATGTTATGCTGTATTTGCGAATCCTTTGGACATAAGGGCAGAAGACTTAACATTCTTCTGCTTAACTAATATTCTTCTGTGTTAGGTCTGGTTTTGTGGAATCAGAGATTGAGTTAAGAATTTTTGTGAAAGTGGTGTATTGAGTGCTCTCAGAAGAGTGGTGTGGGAAGCAGGATAAAGCAAGGGGGGAAAAGCTAAGCAGGGATATTGTTCTGCCTGGAGACTAGCTTCAGCCTGATTCCACCGGGTCAAAGGGTGGTGGGGAGAACGAGAGCTCTGGGGCACAAATTGTCCCACAGAGTCAGTCAAGGGAGCAGCCTGTTGTACACCTGTGTGGCCAGTCTTTGGCTCTGGCCACCTCCTAGGAGCGGTGGTGCCCTAACCTACCAAGGGAGGCAATTCTAGATCTGTGAGCCGTTAGCACCGTGCACTCACAGCAGCTGGGGGATGGCTGCACAGCCCGGGGGAGCTTGGGGAAAGCACTAGGGCGGCCTCGGTGGGCTCCTACCCATAGACAGAGCTGTCAGATTTCTTGTGTGGCCTTCTGTGCTTTGGTTGCTTAGAAGTTCTAGACTAAGTTTCATGTTTAATTCCTTTAGTAGCCTTCAACAAGGATTATTTAATAGCACTTTTTCTCTCTTCTTTATAACTTTAGTCTTTCACCTTTATTGTTTTCTTTGTATTTACTATGCCAGCAATTGTATTGTAAGTAGCCTCAAATTCTTTTTGAAAGTGGGCGAGTCTAAAATAAAAATAAATGTATAAACTAAAACCGATTTTATAAGTAGAAAATTACCAGTCTTTCTTAAAAATCAAGTTTTGAATAGAAACAGGATATTTACTGTTACAATTTATCTTAATACTAGTTATGTTTTAATAACTACTCAAGAATAAAATAAATACTATAAGTCCAAGGAAGGAACAAAATTACATTTTTGCTGGTGACACTTTTATGTATATATAAAGTGCAATGAAGTGAATAAAAAACTTATTGGAGGTAATGAAGAGATATGCAACAGGTTCTGTAAGATTGTAGGCTAGGATACAAATCCTCCAAAGTCAATAAAATTAATTTATGCTAAAGCCATGTAGCTAAAAATATGGTAATAAAAGGAATGTGATGAGAAAACACTGACTCCAGAATTGAACCTCTATCTACATACTCCAGGCTGCTCCTGCCCGTATGTATGCAGTGTGCTAATGACCACCTCACCTGCCCATGTCAGGCAGGTATCACCGGGGGGGGGGAGGGGGCGAAGGAGGAGGGGGATATGAGGGCACCCCCTTCACCTTTACTTGCACAACAAGTCACTAGTTACCACCTTCTGACATCACTTACGTTTCTCTTAAATCTATCCATTCCTGTACCCAGTTCTCCTGACTTAACCTGTTTCTACATTTTTGCCCAAACTACTAGCTGATTTCTTCAGTCATATATGTATATATATATATACGTATACTTAATATACACATATATCTGCTCCCTAGGTAAAATAAGCATGATATTCTGGGGCTTTCTGGTGTTTCCTTCTTTTGGTTTTATTTTGGTAACTTTTTATTTAAAAAAAAAAAAAGTTTATATTCAAATACATTAGACCAGAGCTTCTCAACCTTATCACAATTGACATTTTCGACCAGAAAATTCTTTGTTGCCTGGGCTGTCTTGTGCATTGTAGGATATTTAACAGCATTTCTGGCCTCCGCCCACTATATTCCAGTACCACTACCCCAGTTGTGACAACCAGAAATGTCTCCAGGCGCTGCCACGTGTCCTCTGCAGGCTCAACCCACCCCCAGTTGGAAACAGCCGGGTTAGACCAGGAACCACTGGGCAGCGTCCGTTGCATGCTCCCCCCGCACATGCTGTGTGCACATCATCTCATTGAATCTTCACAGCTCCCTGAGTAGGTGCTGTTTTTTATCCTCATTTTCACTTGAGCAAACCAAGACTTAGATTCAGTAATATGTACTATGTAGCCTTGTGCCCTGCATCACCTTGTACCCACCTGCTCTGACTGTAGAGCCAGGTTCCCTCAGGTTGAATGCCATCTCTCTACTTACTAGCTGAAGACCTTGGGCAAGTTAGGTAATGGTATTTTTCTCTGTCAGTTCCCCCTGGTACTAAGAATAGTACCTACCACCTAGAGTCCTTCCAGGGTTTAAGCCAGTCAGTGTTCATACACGAAGGACTGAAGTAGGACTGGTATGTCCCTGTAAGCACTTTTGCAAGTCCCCACTGAGAATACAAAGGTAAAAAAGACACTTGTCTCCCAGTCTAGTTGGAAATGCAATCATGTAAACTAATAATTTGTGATAGAGCATTCTCTGAGAGTACAGAGATGGAAGCAACAAACCTCTTCAGGGAGTCAGGAATGTGTTCACAAAGGAGGCCCCATGTGAACCCTGAAGGATGAGTCCGAGCCTGGGCAGGCAAGGGGTGAGTGTGGGAGGATTCCAGGAGGAGGAATGCAGCAGGGGGAAATCCTACAACGATGGAGGGATTCCAAACCATGTTATCACTGCTGTGTCCAGTCTGGAAAAAATTAGGCCATTTGTATGAAATGGCTGCTTTTCTAGAATTCAAAACATTCCTGTGTCTATTTAAGAAAATATTCCAGAGCTAAGTAAAAATTATTTTTTGAAGTATATATATACTTTCATAGAACACTAAACTTTTAGTATAGGACTATAGGATACATAAGCTGCAAATAAAGCCAGTCACATTAAGCCAAATGAGAGAGCCATATAGGTGTCAAAGAAATCCTGTCACATTAATTCGCATAAAAATATTTTTATCAGTTATTTTTAGTATGACATTTGTTTAGAAAATACTTTGATTCCTAAAGGAATCATTTTTTTTTAAGATTTTATTTATTTGTCAGAGAGAGAGCACAAGCAGGGGTAGCAGCAGGCAGAGGGAGAAGCAGACTTCCTGCTGAGCAAGGATTCCGATGCAGGACTCGATCCCAGGATCCTGGGATCATGACCTGAGCCAAAGGCAGACGCTTAACTGACTGAGCCACCCAGGTGTCCCAGGAATCCACACTTTAAACAATCATTTAAACTTCTGTTTAAGTAAGTCTTTTCCTAATTCCCATATGAAATAGTACCTTTTCATTTTAGCTATTCTATTAATAGCTAATGACATTGTTGCAGAAGAGAATGAGTAAACTAAGTATAAAATACTTTTGTCTCTACTTCTATAGGCACAAATGAAAAATATGTACTCACATAAAAGATATTCTTCCCACTTCTAGTTATTAATGTACAAATAGTCCTTTTTCCCCCTTTACCATTATATGGTGCGCAATGACTAAGTTTAAATCACGTGAATTATTAGAAACAATGTGCAATGTCCCCTTTACATATTAGAAAATCAATTTTTATTTTCTTGTTAAGATATTTGAATTACATATCATAATTTAACTTAGGTTTTTAAAAACATACTTTGTCTTTCTATTAACTAACTGAAGCAGTTCATTTATAAGAGAACAGCAATGTTTAACATGAATCAAACTTGAGAACAAAATGACAACTTAAAAGGAACTTTCATCATCCAGCTAGTAATCAATGAGAGGTTAAAGGAGAGGGCAGTGGAGGGACCTGAGTTGTTGTAGGATAAATGAACTTAATCTGGAGCATCCTCTTGCTAGCTGCAAAAGATGGCACTTCTTGAGCACTCTAAAGCAAACTGTTTTTATTCTCACTTATTTTGTACCTAAGGCTTTCAAGTCCCAGAGGTATCAGTGTGCATTTAGTTTGGTTTGGTTTTGCTTTGCTGTGGTAGCATTTACCAATTTCTTTTCTTTTGTTCTGCCTACCTAATCTTTGAATATCATATTGTTGGCTCTCATATGTGTACATAGAGGTTTCTAAAATGAAAAAAGCAGGGAGGTCATAGTAGGTAGGAACTTGGGGAGGCTGGTTTGGGCAGCATCGAAGAGAGGTGGACATGTCTTCTTTCCCTTGGGTTCAAACAGTGGGGCTTGAAAACATAAGCAAGCCCCTGTGGTGTTGCAGACAGACAGCAAAAGCAGATGATACCCTAGATCAACACCAGAGAAAGGTGCTTTGTGTACTTGGCAATTTAGTTCTTTTATAAAATCCAATTAAGTAACAACCCAGAAGATATATCAACAGTTTATCTTAAAAGGAAAAAAAAAAGCCATCAATTAATTGCCTTAATATAACAGAACCTCTCTCAATTATAAACCTCTAGATAAAACATGAAAATAGAAATGGAAAAATAATCTTAAAACAGATATATAATTGTACACAATAGTTTGTTGGCATTTTAAATGACCTCATTTATATTTTTTCTCTAAAATAAAAAGACAAAAGTCACAGCAGGCACCTGAAAATTCCATACTCATTACACAGTTATTTACACGTAATCTTTCAGGTTGTATGCTGAATTGCCCTCTGGTTGTGTGGTGGAGATTTGCTGCTGCTTGGGTGGATAGAGCCAAGCTTCTGGATTCTTTTCAATGCAGGAAGTGCAGAAAATCATGCCAGAGATAAACAGCAGTACAGCCGAAATGAATCCAATATAGACCGCTCCTCCGGGTTCATGTTTGTTGCTTTCTGGAACTGTCAGATCCAGAAAGTTTGCTATGATCTCCTTCGTGTACCACACTGTTGGTATCAAACCAGAGATCCCCGCAGACATGAAACAGACTCCTCCGGCAAAAGAAGCGTGACTCTTTGTTTCTCTGTCCCCTCCTAAGCGAGTGCATTTCATCCCTACTGTAGAAGTGCAGATCCCCAAAGCAGACAGGACACATGCCAGGACCATGGTGGCCCGTGCAGCCTGCACGTGGACGGGGAGGGACAGAATGGAGTACTTCAGGGTGCAGCTGAACATCCCGGTGCTGTACCACGTGCAGTCCATCCACAGCCCTTGCAGCTGCACAATGGCCGTTATGATGTTGGAGCCCAAGTCCACATTCACCTTCCAGTTAGGCAGCAGAGTGGCCGTGAGCACTCCGGAGACTCCAGATAAGGCCAGGATGAAAGCAAGGAGCTGGAGCCCAGCTGACGCCATGACATCACCTTTATCTTTGCCCACCGTTACCCGGTATTTGATGATGATGGCCCTTGATCAAGACTGTAGCTCTGTCTCTGCAGCAGGGAACCAAGTAACAAAGGCTAGGGAAAGAAGACAAATCAGGATGCAAAGAAAGCATGAACAAAAAGGCTTCCATATCCATGTACAGTGGAAGCAAAGAACACATTTGAATAGACCCCACAGTAGAAGAGGACACTGTAGGCCAGGAGAAAAGCTCATACCAGGCCCTCAGAGGCTGCGATTCTCCTGAGTGTATGTGGATGGGTGGTGCCTGATGCATGGCATAGAGAAAAGAGCTGTCCGCTTGTTCTTTTTAAAACTTAAACTCTGCCGAAGTTGTCTATAATGTGGGCAGTGGGCCTTATTAGGAGATTTTGACCTATCAGATTCCAGCTGGATGATCTAATAAGAATTTTAATAGCATTAGAGGTTTTTAAAACTTTCTTTTCTTCCTTATTACCTATGGAGTATTTTAGTTAGAAACAGTGTTTAAGTCCACTTCTTAAAAATGATTTATAAATACATAGTGGAGAAGTTTTAAGTATTCAAAAAATGATTTTATTAAAAAAAAAAAAATTTAAGCACTCACCATGTGCCAGACATGTGACCCAAGTGAATTGTTTAAGGAGGAAAGGAAATTCGTAGAAAGAAGGTAAAGCCATAGGCATGATTATCCCTGATTTCCAGTTAATGAACTTTTGCAAAATCCTTATCTAGGTTAACACTCGTTTCACTTCAGGTACAAGATAAATCAAAGCTAGAACAATTAAGCCTCTGTCTTTTGCTTATGAGAATGTGAGATCCTGTCTAGTTGGGACCAGAATCTTACCCTGACCCAAATGAAGCAGTCTGCTGCAAAACCGGTTATTCAGACGGATTCAGAAGTAGTGACACTGAATCTTGGAAGTACATGCCAGAAATAACCACATCATTAGTTGTATATGAAAGGATACCAAAAATAATTTAACATTTTTTTCTTTTTTTTCTTTCCTTTTTTCTTTTTTTAAGAAGAGAGAAAAGATTGCCCTGAATTTGTGGCTTGGCTGTGCTTTAATCTGGCAGTAGTCTCTGCCTTGAAAGAAACACAGTGGTTTCTGAAATACAGCAATAACAGCTTTTTTGTTTCTGCACTAATTTTTGAATGATGTATTAAGACACCGTGGCTCTACCATGATTCGTATGTATTTCACAAAAGGCAGTATGGGCTCTGAATCCAAAACACTGGGGTCAACTCTTAGCTTTCCAGAACCTCTTTGTGCCTTAGTATCCTCTTCTGGAAAATGGGGAGGATTATTGTATATATATCAAAGAGTTAAATGCATTTTAAGGGCTTAGAACAATATCTAACACATAGGAAGTACTCCACAAATTATAACTGACACTGTTACTAGTATGTTTATTTGTTTTATGTCATGTGACAATTGATACTTAATGCCATTTGAAATTTTTCTCTTCTTTCATTGAGCTGATTTATTTTCATAGAATCTTAGAGCTGAAGGAAACTGTAGATATAACTTTGTGCATCATCATTTTTTCCAATTAGGAAGGACATAGAGGTGGTAAATCACTCTGTGCCACACAGGTCTCAGCAGCAGTGTCCTGCTCTCCCCACCTCTCCCCACCTTTACCCCCAGTACATCCTGGTGAGAGCCTCTCCATGTGCTCCCCGGGAGCAGAGAAAAATGCTGCATCTGGAGGCAGAAAGCACCATTAACTGTCAACTTCGTTCACTCCCTGTCCCACTAAGAAAAACACCACTTGAGACGGCGTTAGTAGGACACATGGCTTAGCCTCACAGACTTACCCAAGGAGGTTGATGGCTGGCTTCTGTAAAATATCTGAAGTAATACTAATCCATGCCTGTATTAAGAGTCTATACTTAACATAGTTAGAATGCTGATTCTCTAAGAAGTTAAATCCTGGGCTGTCTAAATTCCTTTGTTCTATTTTTGTTCACAGTGTTAAAATGTGACAATTTTAGGGGAGTATTTTCCTGAAATTTTAAATTCTTAAGTATCAGACTTATATACACATAAGAGTACTTAGGCTTTGTGTGGAACCATACAGTTCATTTCTTTCTGTTTTCCAAATTTCTTTTCATATCTGAGACCAAAATAGAACAGAAGTTAAAGATTCTAGAAGAAAATGAAACATGTTTATAGTTTCATAATAGCTGTTTTCAGGTTTGGGTTTTAACATTTCAGACTCCAGCCAGTTCGCTAAATTACTGCCTTCCCAGACCATTTTCAGCTTAGGGTTTCCTCAAAGTCGAGATTGCTGTTACCATTCTCTAAGAGCATCTCATTTCTCTCTTTATTTTTACTTTGGTTGAGGAACCTTTATGTGTTGATCAGTCTGTGCTCAGCTTCCCAATTATAACCTTTTTCTTCCCATTAACCAATACATTTTATAAATTCAGTGTAATTCAGGCTTGCAGACAGCTTGTTCATCTTAATTAACAAGTACTGGCAGTGATAAATTACGGACAGCCAAAATCAGCGTAAACAATATGACATTGCATTCAGTTAGCATAGTGCTCGCTTACTGTTGAATATTGGATTTTAAATGCTTTCTTCTGCACAGAGAACTTATGCAGAAAGAATTTGTTCTCTACAATGAAGGTCACTATTCTGTTCCTTTGTAAAAATATACTGGCATCTTAGCTACTATATTGCTATGAAGTCTTTTTTTTTTTTCCCCCCCTTCTCCAGCCACAAGTCTGATACAGTTTGTGGCCTGTTCTCTCAAATTTCTGTCTGGTACAGAATAAAAGCATGTTGTTTCACTGGTGGTGGTGGTGGTGGTGGTGGTGGTGATGGTGGTGAAATGCTGTAAAAGTAAGCAGAAGCAATGGGGTCGCAGGTAAAAACTTAGTTCTAAATAGAGAAGTCTCTCATGGTTCCAGAACACACTGCATACAGAACAGAACCCACAAATGTTAATTTTATCAACTATTTGCCAACAGAAAATCTGGAGTGGATTTCATTAAAATGTAAAGTCAGTTTTCCAGACAAGATTTATTTATAACAAACCTAATATTTAAAAAACAGATTTACAACTTATAATTCAAGCTACATGATACTTAAAGGTCTGTTTCTGAGCATTATTGAAGCTTCTCATTTTCCATACCTTTTGTCAGTAGCCTTCAATGTCTTAATTCCCCTTTGTCCGTTGTCTTCCAGTGAAGCTGTATGACGAGGAGAAGCCACACACATGAGGCTCATCTCACAGCTTCTGGGTATTAGTGACAAAGCTCCAGCAAGTTAACTTGCAAATAAAGAGCAACATGGAAATCTGAGGTAGAAACTGCTGATGGTGCTAGAAGATAAATACCAGGTTCTCCATCTCATTTTTTGAGCTGTGGGAGAATTAAGAAAGGAGAGGCGGGGAAGGGAGGGAGTTGTTGTTACAACAGGATTTGTTGAAACCTGAAAGCTGAAAATGCTTTTGTGTCACTGTATACAGAGGAGGAATTATTTGGGTGCTCACAAAAAGGCTTTCTTTTCCTTTAATATTATGTTTTAGTCCACAGTTATAATTTATTTTTGAATTTTTATCTGTGTTGGAAGATTTCATTTATTATTTTATGTCCCCAATTAAAGAATGTGGTCTGAAATATTTTTAACTAGATTGTGCTTTCAAATGATAGTTGAGACTATCTTTATTCCAGTGCTTGTGACTTCCTTGAAATCAAGAGTCACAAAATCAGTAACTTTCAAAAAACACATTCAAAAGACAGTTTTTAAAATATATGTATTTTTTTTAGGGGTGTGTGGGTGGCTCAGTCGTTAAGCATCTGCCTTCAGCTCAGGTCATGATCCCAGGGTCCTGGGATCAAGCCCCTCATAGGGCTCCCTGCTCAGCGGGGAGTTTGCGTCTCCCTCTCTCACTCCCCTTGCTTGTGTTCCCTCTCTTGCTGTCTCTCTCTGTCAAATAAATAAATAAAATCTTTAAGATAAATAAATAAAATATACATACATTTTTCTAAATAAAAGAAAAAAGAAAACTCAGCAACAACTGTTGACTAGACTCTGACCAGTAAATCTACAAGTATTTTGGGGGGGGGGGTATCCTGAAATTTCTTCTGTTATTCCTTCCACTGAGAAAGGTTTCTGAAGTATAACTTAACAAATTAGAACTTCTAGATAATGTGAAGAAATTATACCAAAATGATGTGAGGGAGCATATTAAGTGAAACAGGGAAATCAAATATTGAGGTCCTAGTACCATGAATAATGATACAGATATATTTCATGTCCATCTATTTTGGGTTTGCATTTTATTTTTCTTCACTAATTTTAATTCTACAAGCTATAAATTCATAGCCACTACAGAGAAAGAAGATAATTTTATAATTGATTTTTTTTTCCAAATGTTGATAGCCATATTAGATGTCAGCCATTTCTTTAAAAAGCAGTGAATAGGGGCGCCTGGGTGGCTCAGTTGTTAAGCGTCTGCCTTCGGCTCAGGTCATGATCCCAGGGTCCTGGGATCGAGCCCCTCATAGGGCTCCCCGCTCCGCGGGAAGCCTGTTTCTCCCTCTCCCTCTCCCCCTGCTTGTGATCCTGCTCTCACTGTGTCTCTCTCTGTCAAATAAATAAATAAAATCTTTAAAAAAAATAAATAAAATAAAAAAATAAAATAAAAATAAAAAGCAGTGAATAAAATACACATTTCAATTATCTGGATTTTTCTAGATTTTTTTTGTTTTTGTTGCCTTGTTTTCTAAGTCTGGCATTTAGCAGTGTATTTTTTCTCTTAGAAATCTAATGCCTGTGGATTTTTTAGCCATAGTGTTGTAATTTTAGTATATAAACTTCTATTTCATGGAAGTATTTAAACAATTCTTTGTGTAAATCCTGGACGAAGTAGAGTTGAATTTCAGGCACTAACAGTAACAGCATTATTATTTCTGCTATCGCAGAAGAAACCTGCCAGATCCCTTTAGTGCCTCGCCTTGCTTTGCTCTCTGCCATGGTTAGTACAGATTCACCTGTGCTGAGGCTTCCTGATGGCAGGTGGAGGGGACAGCCTGCTCCCAACTCTGGCCTCCAGGATAAGGAGGCCTTATTTCTATTTTCAAAACATTTTTGATCATTCTAACTTGATGTGAACACTTATCCAATAAAATATTAACTGCTTCTTTTAGAAAAGCAGACTTCAAAATGCAAATAACTTTCATAAATTACAGACCTTTAATCAAGGTAGAATTTCTTGTATTAAAAAAGGAGATGGAAGAGTAGAGGTTGCTAGAGAAATCGAACTATATTGACCTCATCTGCTTCCACTGTGGACCTTAAAGAGAATTAAATCTTTTAAGTCCAGAGACTTTTGTAGATAAATCTTACCTTTACCTTAGTTTCTGCCTCTTCCCTGGCCCTCTCCCCTGCACACCTGAGTACCGTGGCCAGTGGCCAGTGCCGCGTCACTGATAGACATGGCAGAGCCGTCCTGGACAAGGCGAACTCCTGACCTTCCCCGCACCACTTCTCATTTTCCCCATGTCCATGCATGGCAAACTCCTCCTTTGATTTGGCAGGTAGGTCCCAGATCTTAAAAACATCCTTGATTCCATACCTGACATCCAAATCATTTTGTTTCTAAACCTCAAAATAGATGAAGAATCCTGCCACCTCTGAGCCCCATTGCTGCTGACTCCCTGGCTGAGGAACTCACGAGGGCAAGGACTCGTGTGTGACTTGTGCGTTGTTGAGTCTCCGGTGCCAGGAATGGTGCCTGGCACATAATAGGGGTACAACAGGTACTTGTGGAATGAGCCCAGAAACTGATTTTGAGCATATAACACTAAACTGTACATTAACTTTGTATGATTAAAAGTATAATTTTGTTCTTTCTAAAGAGACTACAATTTTAAGTCATTTTGTAACTCTTCAGTTTTGTCATTTTGGCCTAATAATAATATATCTATGTTGATAAAACTGCTTCCTGTATGCTGGGTGCTGTTGGAGGCACTGTGCTACTTGATTCCCAAGACAAGCCTGCGAAATAATAGGGATCCTCATCTTACACATGAGAAACTGAGCTCCAGGGAAGTAAAGTGACTTGACTAAGGTTGTGAAAATAGTTAGTAGCAGGAATGGGATTCAGGCCCAGGATATTGTGATTTTTGAAGTCCTTATACACTCATAGCACTTCCCTGCCTCTACTTAGAAAAGAATGTACTTCTTTTTTTCTTTTTCTTTTCTTTAGATAGAGAACATAAGCAAGGCAGGGAAGGACAGAAGGAGAGGGAAAGAGAATCTTAATCAGGCTCCATGCTGGGTGCGGAGCCCAATGCAGGACCCAGTCTCATGACCCTGAGATCATGACCTGAGCTGACATCAAGAGTCAGACACTTAACCAACTGAGCCATCCAGGTACCCTGAAAAGAATGTATTTCTAGGTCTTATTATAACGGGTCATTTCTTTCTGTGGTAGTCTGGATAACTGTGCAAAAAACATAACCCTGACATCTCCGTGGCTTTACATAAAAACACTTCTCATGCCAAGTCCGTGACTGACTCTGCAGAGTAGCTGGCCAGTGACTCAGCAGTCCATCTATTTTCTTTAACATGTTTCATGTAGCTATTTTAAAGAAAAAACTACATGTAATTTCCTTAGTGTGTTTTTCTGAGTAATGATAATCTGAAACTCAGACAACCTTTTCTCTTTTCTCTGGAAGACCTAATAATTTAACTGAAAATTTTAGAAATCCTAAGAATACATACTTTTGTATGAGCTTGTTCACCAGATATGAGTTCCTCACCCCTGCCCACACATGAACATCATCTGGCTTTCAAGAAGCCCGAGGCTCAGGCCCCAGCCCCATGGCTCTTATGTCATTGGTCTGGGATGATGCCCATTCACTGTATGTTTAAAATGCTGCCCACTTAATTCCAGTGGAAAGCTGAGGTTCTGATTTTTAAAAAACCATGTCTTCTCTTACTTGCTTTCTGTTTAGCCTTAAAAAAAATAATGAACATGGAGGGGCGCCTGGGGAGCTCAGTTGGTTAAGCCTTCGGCTCAGATCATGATCCCAGAGTCCCAGGATCGAGCCCCACATCGGGCTCCCTCTCAGCAGGAAGTCTGCTTCTCCCTTTCCCACTGCTGCTGCCCTTGCGTGTGCTCTCTTTCCCTCTGTCAAATAAGTATATAAAATCTTTAAAAATAATAATAATAATGAATGTGCAGAGGAAGGTTAAAGTAGTTACCTATTCTGGTTCCACAAATTTAAAGTGATTGACTTAATCTTAAATAATGTTCTCTTCTGACCCAGTCTTAGAAAATTAATAGTATCAGCTATGAGCATGATCAGTTCATTATTTTTCTCCATCTTTATGGTCATTTTAGTTTTAAAATAATGCTCTAGGCTAGCCTGAAGACTTTAACTTTTATAATTGGTAGCTTATAGATTAGTTGGTTGTAGTGAGGACTTTGTTAAAAATGAAGATGATGGGGATGCCTGGGTGGCTCACTTGGTTGTGTCCAACTCTTCGTTTCAGCTCAGGTCATGATCTCAGGGTCGTGAGATCGAGCCCCGTGTTGGGCTTCATGCTGGGCATGGAGCCTGCTTAAGATTCTCTCTACGTCTCCTTGTGTCTCTCCCCTGTGCATGTATGTTCACATTCTCTCTCTCTGGAAAAAAAAAAAAAAAAAATGAAGAATGTTCTTTGGTTTATGTGTGTTCTCAAATGTCTGAGAGGCCATCCTAATTCTGTTGATTTTTATCAAATCTGGTATGTTTCTGCAGAGTACTCCCCACCCCCCACCACCCTTATCCACAAGTGGTATGTTCTGAGACCCCCAGTGGATGCCTAAAACTGCAGATAGGACCGAGCCCTATATATCCCATGTTTTTTTCTATGTATACATACCTAAAGTTTAATTTATGAATCAGGCACAGTAAAAGATGAATAATAACTAATGATAAAGTAGAACACTTACCACAGTTATACTGTAATAAAAGTTATGTATGGTCTCAAAATATCTTATTGTACTGTATTCACTCTTATGATGATGATGGGAGAGGAGGTGACGGGAGGGGAGGGACGTAGGCACAGTGACACAGCATTAGGCAACTGGGGACCTTCTGACGCTGGACTAGAAGGAAGATCATTTGCCTCCAGACTATGGTTGACCGCGGGTAACTGGGAGCACAGAAAGCAAACTGTGGATAAGGGGAAACTATACAAGTTGCACTTACATTCGTTTATTATCTGTTATTGGGGACTCGTTTTCTGTCTTCCTCACATTATTTTGGAATGTTAAGACTATCTTTGGATTTTGTGGTGACATTTGCAGATCAATCTAATTATTTTAGTCTCACGGGTAGTATAAAAAGGTATTTGTTGGGCCTTACCGTTGCACCCTCTTTGCACATTATTTTGAAGAGCAGAACACTTTTTTTACTTTTTATTTTTTATTTTTTTAAAGATTTTATTTATTTATTTGACAGAGAGACACAGCGAGAGAGGGAACACAAGCAGGGGGAGTGGGAGAGGGAGAAGCAGGCTTCCCACCGAGCAGGGAGCCCGAGATGCGGGGCTCGATCCCAGGACTCTGGGATCATGACCTGAGCTGAAGGCAGACACTTAACGACTGAGCCACCCAGGCGCCCCAGAACACTTTTTTTAAAACATCCTCATTTAGTGGCAGTATCCAAGATGCTGGGCTAAGGATGCCTAGTTTGGGCCTGACCCTCCTCTTCCCTTGTTCCTCTTTGCCTTTCTTCCCTGTCTCTCTCTCTCCTACCCAGCTAGGTCTCCTGCATCTCAGCCCCAGCCCACACTCTAGGGCACTGGGTGAGTTCATGAGGACTTTGTGATCTTGCCAAATTATAAAGCTCGCATTGGTTTTATTCATGTTTCTTATTTATTTTTATAACTCTGGTGATACACAGGGAAGACTCTGAGGTGCCCCCAGACCTCCATGAGTTAAATAGTAAAATAAGCACGTAGAGGATGAGATCCAGGGGCTACAGAATCCACCTTTAAAAAGACAGAATGTCTTTCAAGTGAGAAGCCAGAGGAGCAGGACAGCATGAGTACGTTTAAAGAACAAGTACCTCAGCCGAAGGAGCACTGGTCTGGGTGCTTGCAGCACGTGGTTGAGGAGAGTCCAGCTCTGCTTGTGCCGGTGAGGAGTCAGGCCCTCGGGCTGGTGCCGTGACCATTACGACCACCAGTCTGTGTACAGCTGCTCCCGTCCGTGGCGCTGCACGGTCTTCGGTCTTCTAATCGTAGCGGTGGTTTCCTCGGAGAGGGAGGCACTGACAAGGCAGCTCGAGTTCGCGCCTAGCCTCTTTGGCGGTCCTGGCTCCTTACGAATTAATGTACTTGCCTCCATGTTCATTTGTGCGTCTTTTACCGTTTTCCGTAGCAGCAGTATTTACTGGAGTGCCTTGTGAGTCTGCCTAGCTTCGACGTCTCCGTGGCTCCGAGGTGCTGGAGCCTCCCTGGGCCTGCCGGGGCGGAGGCCGGGCCTCGTGATTGCCCGGGGTGCTACCACCTGTGGCCGCAGCAGGGGCGGACGCCTCCAGGTGCTGCCGTTCACCAACACCAAAGGCGTGGTCGATGGCGAAGGTCGTGGTTTTAGAAGGGTGTTTTCCCCCAAGGCTCACCGGGAGCTCCAGGTTAAATACAACTGAGAACCCTAATGTGATGTTTGATAGTTCTTGTCCCTCTTGTGCTTCGTTTAGAATTAAGCATTCACCTCCTTGAAATGGTTTCCCTAACTTGGGACCAAGAGACCCTGACTCATCTTGCTGCTGTTATTACTAATAACATGCATGAATTTACACTCATTCATGCATACATTTACTTACATGCATACAATTACGTGCATAACTTACCCTGTAAAATACTTTCTCCATCTGCTCCCCTCACGTGGGCCTCTCTCAGGCTTATTCCTCATCGTGCTCTCAGCTCACTGCCATTCTTTGTTCTCTTACATACTTATGCTCTGAGGGGAAATGCTGTGACTGTGTTGCGATTCTGAGGAGGAAAGAGGGAGAAAAACCATTCAGAAATCTATAGGAGGGAAGAAAGGTGGGGCTGAACTTCTGTAGAAATTAATTTTGCTATAGAAAATACAAATTCTAAACTTTAAAGAAAGATGTGTAGGTACGAACAGTGTGTCAGCCCTCGTTGAATACTTTGGTTTAGAACATCTGGGATGCTGTTAAAGTGTTTGCATTTTAAGGTTTTAAAACTGAAATTCTGTCCTTAAATTGGGCTTGGGACAAAAATTGCAGAATAAACCAGTTATAGGAAATCTGATGTACATTCGTATTTGTGAATGTTTTTCTACAAAACACGTAGAGTATCCCAGGCGTTAGTGACTTCCCGCTCTGTTACTCGTACCCAGGGCAGTTGTACCTGGAGGCTGACACTAGCTCAGTGTAGGCACCTGAAGAGTCAGACTCTGGTGGGTGCAGGACCCAAGCATCTCCCAGGGTGCTCACCTCGATCTGTCATTTCACCTGACGCTGAATGTGACTCCCCCAAACCTCAGGTGGTGCCGGGCACCTCAGATCCAGCCACACCCTTCCCATTCCCATCTACACGAGTCTGTCGGAGACAGTGCCCCCTTGAACTATGAAAATCCTCCTCTTCTTGCTCCTGAAGGCTTATTGATTATTCCCTGTTGACCTTCTTTCTCGACCTTCTGTCCTCTCCCGGTTATGGTTCTAGTTCAGCTAATTATAAACGATAGCTTCTTAATGATTTTTCCTTCCACGGTCTTGAATGCCAGGGGAAGGGTCGAAGACCCTTTCTTAGCTAATGGCTCCTGTCGTGCCTGTGTCTTTTCATGGGCGTGGTAAGTCAACTCTTTGGCATATGATGATTCTCCGTCAGGAACAGACTGCCCATTCTTCAGCATTCTCTATCCTCATGGTGACTCGAGATCTGAGTTGGCAGTATCTAAGGCTAGAGATTTAATAGCTTCTTATCCCAGGTCTCTTATAAGTCTAAAGTGCAGCTCTGAGCTCATAACCAGTCATGCCCTAGACATGCTGGCCTGGAAAATGAAACTGCTGCCTGCAGCCTTTTGTAGCCACGGCTGCTAATGTTGAGAAACATAATCTCAGCTTGGTACAGCATTGATATTAGAGTGGATTTGAGAGGCAAATATTTAAATTCGCTATAAATCCTTTAATTTGACGTTTTAGTAGGTCATTTTGGTATACCAATAGACTGAATTTAGAAAGGGACTGACAACATTAAAATAGAATTTTTAAATGTATCTAGTGCCTATGTACTGATTTCTTTTTTTGTAAGGAAATCCTTTAATAGAGTTAAAATTCAGGGAAGGAAGAATAATGGTTGCAATTTTTAAATAAGCATTCAATTATAAGTAAAAAGCATTTCTGTATCTGTTACCCTAGTTACCGAGCAGCTTTCCTGTATTTCTAGAGAAAAATGGGCTCCATCATTCAGAGTAATTCTGAAAAGTGCTTTTGGGGGCAGGAGTAGAGAAGAGTACGGGAGGTTTCCCAGAGAAGCAGGACACATTGCTGGAATAGCCGTTTTCACACTGAGTTCCTCAGGGTCCTCCTCTAAGTAGGAACTGTATTGGATGATGAGTGGGTATTTTCTTGTAGCTGGGATATACTGTTAGCCGACTTAACTGGGTAACAAAATTACATTCAAACTTTAGAAGGCTGCTGCAGTTAACATAGGGTGCTGCTACATTGGTACAGGGCTTAAAAAACTTTATCTAAAGCCAATGTGAGACATTTCCTGTTTTTGCGAACACCAACCTTATCTCAAAGGAATAAAATCAGGCAAATAAAGAGGAGGCCAAATTTTAAAATCCAAAGAAGCTGGCAGTGGCAGTTTCTGTACTGGAAGGAGAATGTATCTGAACCTGTATTTGTGCCTTATATAGAGTTTTTATAGTATTTCACGGGCTGGGGTTGGCCTAGGGCTCAAACTGTATCTCCTGTTTTGCTGAAAGTTTCATTTCCCTGGGGAATGGCAGGCTGTTGGATCACAGCTGGTACCTGTGAAGAAAAACCATCCAAACTGACTGGACTGGGGAAGAATTGGCAGAGAAGGGTGGAGGAGTTGAGTCCTGGAGGGCGGCAGAGTGGGGGACCGGGATGGGATGCCAGATGGTGAGGTGTAGAGTGATGGGGCAGGGCGAGGCCTGGAACCTTCCTGGACAGCTGGGTTCACTCCTCTGTTCCATATCAATAGGAGGAAAGGTGGGGAGGGTGTTTCAGAGTTTGTGAGCAGAGTCTTTGACATTAAAGTCATGATAGTGTATCTGGGGCAGCTTCTTCCAGCGCCCTCCACACAGATTAGCTCTTTTTCCGGCCACAGAAATGCTTTCAAATGAAGCCGTCTTTTCTTCCCTGTTTACTGTAGTGCTCCTGTTCACTCCACCTAAACCCCGAGGCCCCCTCCACAGTCCTTATCCTCCTCAGTGCCTCTCTCTGCTCTCTTGATCACAAACCTCTCCCAGACCCCTGGACCCTGGTGGTGGTTTGTGCCGGTCTACAGAAAGTCCTGGCCTTTTAACCAAGCGCTTCGTTTCCTATAGAAGTACTTGTTACCAAACTTGGAGAAACTGATTAAGCAGCACATAGAACCCAATTTGAAAAACTATTAAAATTTAATGAGAACATTTAACATTACAGGTAGTCACTCTCTGAAGTGGAGTAACTCCTGTCCCACCAAAGTAGCCTGAAGGCTGATGGATATTTAGGGGAGTTGGTGCGGAAAGGCCTCTCTGCTGGAGGTTTTCACTCTACTGCCTAGGCCGTCCTCTGCGTGCCTACCGTGGACCTCTTCTAGTTATTCCGTAGGGGCACCGTAGCTAATCTGAAACAGTCGGGACAGGATCAGTGATTGTTCGAGGAAAGGGTACGTCATGGCAGCAGGAGAAACACCACTGGCTACTCCAAAAGCCTGTCCAGGCCCCCTGATGATGGGCCCGTCTTCATTTTCTTTCCTTGTCCACACCTCATATACAAGTACTTTTCGTCCATCCTAAAATCAAGAAACTGAAAACACTGCCATTCTCAGGTATGACAGACTGATTTTAAGTTTTGTAGCCACAAGGGATTTTTAGAAGCAAGGCCTTCCAAGAGAACAAGATAACCCCCGTGGAATTTAAAAAATGGAATGAATTCCTTCTGAGAAGCAGTGGTACGACCCCAACTTCATCAACTGCTGTACTTTCTTAGCCTTTGTAGAGTCCGTGTGATGTTCTAAGTAGCAAATTTAACAATTCCTTAGAGACCAAGGCTTTTGTAAATTACGAACAGACTTCGCATTTGTTAGGCCGTGGTCTGTCAGGCATTTTTCTGCATGATAACTGCTTTGACTCTGTTTCTCCCTTTGTCTTTACTTTCCATACTATTCCTTTGTTATTTTGAATATAGAGACAGGGTATAAATCTCCTAACAGATATGCCTGAAAAGTTTTATTTTCTGATAATTAAAGAATCTCAACTGCTAGTGCTAGTTCACCACTCAGTGACATTTGGGGGGGGTTCCACTTCCTAGTTGATCCTGCCTGGGCCTCCAGGGGCATTTCATGTTGCTCCCAGAAAGTGATGTGGTCGTGCAGATGACAGTCATGAATGCGGTCCAGCTGGTTAATCAGTGTCTATGCCCAAAGCAAATCGTGTCCTAATTGATTCCCCTTCTGGGGAGTTTAGCACTTAGTGGTCCCTGGGGGGCCATCTGCCTTCTCTTCTGTGTTTGGAAGCCCAGCTTACAGCCAGAACTGCTGCTGCAGCTTATTTTTTTTACACTTTCCAAAGCTAAATAAAATACTCTAAAGCTATCTGTTAGCTGCCTCCTGACTTAAATGATGATTTGGATTGATCTTAAAGGCCATTGTAAAACTACATTTTAAAATTAAGTGATCATCAAGCACAGGTCTAGTGGATGTCATTACAGAGCAGACGCACGGGATGGCTCTGAGTCAGCTCAAAGCCAAGTGCAACAGCTTACCTGCCTGTGGAAGATGAAGCCGGAGTCCACGTAAGGGTTTATGAGAACCATGCAGTCAACAACCCGTCTACCTGTGTTTGACAAAGACGAATTGTTTAATCATATTCTACCATGCCACAAAATGATGTATGTTTGCTCACGATGAAGGTGGACGTGGGCGTGGTGCACTTCACTCCCCTGGTGCAGCCCAGGATCGAGCAGCCCTTCAAGCTGGTGGAGAAGGTCGTTCAGAACGCATTTCAGTTCCGGAGGAAATACTGCTATCGAGGGCTTGGGTAAGAATGCCTTCTCTGCCTTTCACTGGCATGCTTTCTAAAATCCTTAAGCACTTTTAAAGATTAAGAACCTTGTTTTTAGGATTCTTCAAGCTAACTGTCAGTGTCACTCTTCATTCAAATCCTGAGGTGAACAAACCTTGCCTGGCCCAGAGGAAAGGGCAAAGCTCTGCATTAAGCTTAGAGGCTACCAGCAGGTTTTGTTTTAGCACCGGTACGAGCTAAAAACTGACAGCTGTGCAGTTGATAATGACCCTGAGTTCTCAGAGCAGACCATATGAACCGTTTTTACGCTCAGCACTTCTGACCCCACGTGTGGTGTTTTTTCCAACACCAGCAAGTCCCCCAGTTCTTTAGGCACCAACTGTGTCTTACATTTCCATCCAAGTCTGACATTAACTACCTGGAGTGGCATAGAGCCCACAGGTTCAGGCTTCAGGGGCCACAAGACTGCTCCCACTTCAGACACTAGTCACAAGTCCCAGGTCACCACTGAAATGGGGATTTCTGTGACACTCCCTCTACCCTACGCCCTGCCACTTCAGGTCACTAATTCGCTAGAATGGCTTATGGAACTCAGGGAAACACTTTGATTTATCAAATTATAAAGGATGTAACTCAGGAACAGCCAAATGGAAGAGACGTAGGGCAAGGTAGTATGAGAGCTAAGGGGTACACAGAGCTTCTGTGCCCTCTCAGGGCTCCTCACCCTCCCGGCACCTCACTGTCTTCACCAGCCTGGAAGCCCTCTGAACCCATCATTTAAGGGTCTCTATGGACGGTCCATTAGGCAGTCGATTACATCATTGGCCACTGGTGATTGAGCTCAGTCTCCAGGCCCTCGCTTCTTCCTAGAGACCTGGAGGTGAGACAGAGTTCAACCCTCTAATCACAGGGTTAGTTCCTTTGACAGCTGTCCCCATCCTAAAGCTATTTAGGGACCCACCCAGAGTCATCTCATTAGCACAAATTCAGGTATGGTTGAAAAGGAGTTTTATTAGGCATAACAAAAAATGCTATTATCCCTTATCAGGAAATTTTAAAGGATTTAGAAACTCTGTGTCAGGAACCTGGGACAAAGGCCAAATAATACATTATCACAGTGAGTGGGTTTTTTTGGTTTTTTTGGGGGGGGGGGGAGAGCACAAGCAGGGAGGACGGGCAGAGGGAGGAGCAGGCTCCCCGCTGAGCAGGGAACCCCCAACATGGGGCTCGATTCCAGGACCCCTGAGATCATGACCCGAGCCGAAGGCAGCCACATAACCAACTGAGCCACCCAGGCGCCCGATACTGAGTTTTTTTAATGCTCTTCTTCCCACCAACTTGCTATATCACTTTTAAGGACACACTTAGAACTAGGAAGCAGGTATAATGTTGGAACGGCCAAAGAGACGTCACGAGGTCTTCATACAAGCATGTTTTTATGTAATGGGGAGCTCCTTCGGTCTGCTCTGCTTCCTGCTCTGTGCACACACATGGCCACCGTCAGGAAACCCAGACAGAACATGATGCTTTAGGGTCCGAGCGCCTCCCGAGGCCCTGAAATGACCACAGTGATATTTTCTATCCATTGGCAGCCAAGAAAATGTTTAAATAGGCCCAAGTACTTAGGCAGGAAGCTCTGTGCGTGATATGTTTTTTTAAAACGCTGCCATCTAATATGGCCAAACTTTAGCTGTTTAAAGGCGCCCAGCTCCATAGGCACGCATTTCTCATTTTCTCATCCCACCTCCCCTTTATATAAAGCCCCATCTCTTCGCTCTTGCTCTGGTTCTATGAAGTGTCTTCTTAGCACATGAAATTAGTTCAGGTACAGCTGGGCAGCTGCATCCCGAAACCTCTGCAGCCTGCAAAATTCATTCTTGAGGATTTGAGCGGACTGATGTTAAATCCTTGTCTTGCCATTTGTTGGCTCTAATTAGGCCAGGATTTATACTTCACCAGTTACTACTTCTTGAGCAGAGACTTGAGCGGAGTAGTGACGGATGCCACCAGCTGTCTTGGTGCCAGTTAGAATGATGGCATTACGTTACCACCCCCGGTAGGCGGCAAGCCCCAGCCAGGAGGTGTGCTGTTTGTTTGACGACTAGAACCCAAACTGGATTTCAGCTCACACTCACCCTGCACGCAGGGTGTGACTTGTACAGCTGTACATGATGGCCCTGATTCATGGGGGGGGGGTGGATCACAAAAAGTACATTCTACTTTTGGAAATCCTGGAATGGGCCTCAGAGCTGGCCCCGGCATTTCCAACCTAAGTGATGGGCCCCTTCATCTCCTATACACCGTCTTTTGTGCAGAGAGGGACCCCAAAGAGTGTGCCCGCTTTGACCTGTTGGTGTCCTTCTGTCACATGCACCCACACATCGGTCCCCCCCCTTGCTGTGAAGCTGAACTCCAAGATCACAGCTCACCCGACACCATAGGGAACATGCATTCCCTTACTGAGAGGACCAGCAGCCTGTAAGAAAAACTCCCATTTCCATTGGCCATGACCTCTAGGCTCCGCAGAGTCCCCAACTGTTGAGAAAAGAAATAAAATCCAGGTGTAGCTTTGCAGCGTTTCAGTCAGTCAGTTTTCTTACTCATTTTAAAACCGTGATCTGTTAGGTTAGATGAAATTTAAAATACATACTTCAAATCAGTTGTAAAGATGCCGCAAGGTAAATCTAAAAAAAGGGAACTGTTTGCATTTTCACATCACCTGGTTTCGAACTTTGCAATGGTCATTCCTTGGGGGTGAACAGTCACAAAAGCTAAGAGAATCAAGAAGTAAGACAAGTTTCATATTAAAATGAGGCAAATCAAACATTTCTATAGAATACAACTGAATGGATGTTTCTTTAAACTTACCTTAAAGGTACTTGTATTGATTGAGCTTTGGCAGGTATTTTCCCTTGTGGGCACACCTCACAGGTCAGATGAGCTCTTCCTTCAGTGGTCCTTTGTACCTGTTGCCTAGTGGCACGATCAAGATCCCTCTCCATTGGCTTGGGGCCCCGAGGACACTCCAGCCGCAGCCTCCACTCCCTCTCGATGTCATTTTCAAATGAGAGTAGAAGGAAGCATCATGATTTAAGGAATTCCTTAAGTAAAATTTGGATTATTTTCTCTCCTCAGAATGTTATTCCCTGAAGTTCAGCGCGTGGAAAGCACTGGAAAACTGTTAGAGTTGGCAGACGTGGACCCTACCCTTAGGCCCAGCCAGCTCTCTGTTTCACATTTTAAGAGCCTGTGTGATGTATACCGAAAAATGTGTGATGAAGACCCACACCTCTTTGCTTATAATTTCAGAGAAGAACTCAAACAAAATAAAAGCAAAACTCAGGAAAAAGAGGACGACAAGGAGAGAGACAGACTCTAAGAGCGTATCGAATGTTGCTTTCCACAATGTTAAGCGGCTCAGATGTGTACTTTTTGTCTTCTACAGAAGGACAATAAAAATACGATTACCATATGTGACTTATTTCCCTTTTACTGTACAGCTTGGTGAGAAAATAAATATAATCAAATAAGATACAGTACAAGCTTTCTTTTAATATATATACTGCATAGATATGACATATTCAGTATAAACGGCATCTGTTAACAACCTTACAAAAATGAAAGATCTGCACATTGTGCCCCTCACCCAGATTAAAATAAATATGCTTTAAATAAAGCAAAAACTAACAGCTCAAAGAAAATGCCCAGAGGATTGGAAAAAAAAACAATGACCTATTAATCACAACTCCCCCATCTTACTTTTTCCACATAAATTAAAATAGATTGCATTTTTAAGGATCCTAAGTCATTTTGATACCTGCTCAAAAGGGCTATAAACTAAGTAATTTACAGATTCTGATCAGTTCAATCTAGTTTTCTGATCTACAATAAATTAAAATAACTTAGATCTTTACAACTATTTTGTGGAGAAAATGTACGCCGCACAAAACCCAATAATGAATAGTTTTTCTGCCATTTCCACTTGACCACCAGTTTCAAAGTAAAACGAGCCGTCGAGCCCGCATCTGGATTGAAACGGCACTACAACTTCCCGTGGTTCTCGGTTTCATAAAAACACTCCTCGCTGACCACCGAGGTTAAACTCTGGACACTGAACTCTCGCTGGAGAACAGAACTGAGATCAAGGTTGGCATTTTCAGACTGACTGTCAAGGGACTGATGGCGAATCTGTGCCTTCAGCAAAGTTCCCCTGTCCCGCTTGGTGCTGTTCGCTTTCCGCTTAATGGCGCAGAAGTGCCCCCGCACCAGCTTGGGCTGCTCCCCTCTGGGCCGGCCCTCCGTGCCAGGCTGCTGTTCAGCTGGCTTTGCATCGGGGCCGTCGGAGATTCTCAGCCTCTGGAACTGAATTTCAATGTCTTTGGTAGGGCTGCCCCGTCTGAGAGTCTGATGGTAGTCGTCCTCGTCGTCGCTCAGAATGTCACTCTCCTTGATGAGACTGTCTGACAGATCAGCCAGGCCTGGCCGGGGCTGTTGCAGGGACTCCTGCCTGCTCCCGCCTGGGGCGCAGCCGCTGCTCTGGGTGCTACTGCTCAGGCTGCACTCGTCCGAGTCCAGGGAGCTGCCCTTGCCGGCCTCGCCGGGCTCGCCGGGCCACTCGCTGCTGGAGGAATTCTTGAGGACTTTCAAGGACCTGGAGGACGCTGCAATGAGAAAAGTGCGTTTCCCCTCGTGATCGAGAAACAGACTCCACAATGCGTCATTTCTGCAATCAAGTACGTTATAAGATGTAACATCTTAATGACTTAACATCATCTCACTTCTGTTACCAACTATCCTGGGGCTTGGGCAAAAAAAGAAAAAAGAAAAGACACACATACACCCAAAACATGCAGATACTACCAAGTGTGGAAACTTTTTACTTACGTTTATTTGAAATTTTATGTTGGAGGATTGGGCATTGCTAGATGACCTATTACCAGAGCTCGATTGTTTAGACAGAACAACAAGCTATAAACTATTACGAAGGCTAGGATTCTTATTTTGCCAATGGATAAATGAAAAAGTTAGCTACTAATAAAATCTAGGTCCCTTTCTTTCACTAAAGTACTTTGAAACTGGACAGCCAAGATTATACCATATTTCTACACCTGCCTTTTCACCTTATTTCCCTTGCTGCTCCATTAAAAGTAGAAAAATGCCCTTCATCACTCATGAGAATGGTCTCTGCTGGAATTTCTAGCCAACTTTCAGAGATTTAATAGGAATAATCTGTGTTTAATTCTTTTCTCTTGGGTTGAAGAGAAAAGGGGAGCTCTCAGCTGTGATGTTTCCATAGACCGTAATAGCATAGTTTTGATGGCTACAGCTTATTTTGGCAATAGAGGAAAAAAATAAAAAATATACAGTGAATTTGAAGAGGAGGTCACACTGTGACCAATGAAGAAAAGAAACAAGACCAAAGATATTAACAAAATAATACAGAGAGAGGGTTTAAACTGAAATTTTAAAAGCAGAAAATTTAAAATTTTAACTGAAGTTTTGCAGAAAGTTTAAGAAAAGCATGATCTGGAGTGTTTCCTTGCTGACTTAATTGACTGGGTGTGAATATAGGGTTTCTTGATTTTAATTCAAGTATTGGCTTTCTAGAAGCCTGAGCTGTTCAGAGCACTGGGAGTACTGCAGTGAGCCAAGCTAAGCTAAGAGACTATGTGACTCCTGCACATCTCAATGGAAGAAAGAGATAAGATAGTAAAGAGACTATGTCAGCTGGTGGTAAAATGAGGACTTGGAATTGGGAGTGGTTATAGTTTATACAAGGTTTGGGAGCAAGAGGCATTTTAAGTTTTTTTTTTTGTTTTTTTTTTTTAAGATTTTATTTATGTATTTGAGAGAGGAAGAGAGCACAAGTAGGGGGAGCAGCTGAGGGCAAGGGAGAAGCAGGCTCCCCGTAGAGCAGGGAGCCCGACGCGGGGCTCAATCCCAGGGCCCCGGGATCATGACCTGAGCGAAAGACAGACACTTACCCAACTGAGCCACCCAGGTGCCCCTTAAGTTTCTTAAAAGGAAATAAAATTGCCACCACCTTCACACACCATTCCGTGTACTCGGGTGTCTGGTTCAGAGCTTACAGAGCTCCCCCTGGTACTTTACAAAGTGATGACTCACTGCTGTATTACAAAAACATATATCCTTACAGAGAAGCTTGTGTTTTCCTGAATAAACACAAGGCCAGCAAAATTCTCACCTAACTTGGCTGAAACAGGAACTCGGTTCTTAAGGGGTACCAGGCGATCCTTACAGGTCTTCTCCAGGGGTAATTCACACTTGATGTGACGCCTGAAGTTCTCCCTCAGAATAGATCGAATCACCTTGACGATGTTGGTTTTGCTCTCATTGTCACTGGTGAGGGGAGAAGAGAAAACAGTCATGTCGAGTGTCCTCGTGCTTCGTGTCCACGTCCCCTGGTCCTTAAGTGTCCTATTACTGCTCTCAGGACAGACTGACCATGAGTCACCAAGCTTCTGTGTACCTTGGTCTCCACTTACAAAAGGAGAAGTGATCATTTTTGAAGGGCCTTTGAGCGCTAAGATTTGGATACATATTTAATCAATGTATTCTGCTACAGACACAGCTGCCATTTGGGGGAGGCTGGGTGTGATCCTGAAGTCATCAAAATTCAGGAGAGCACTAAAAATAAACTCCCATTTTTAAGAGAGCACAATTCTGTCTTTTTCCCATTGATTTTAATTTTTGGAAGTCCGTAATACCTGCAGCACAGCTGGAAGATGGTTTCCGGCCGTCCTTCTATTTCCGACTTCGTATGGATGAGTTCCCAGACGGAATTATTTTCTGTCCCTGTATAAAAGGAAACAAGGGTCTACAACTTCGCCAAAGATGTGAAGTTCGAAACTCATGTCAAATATTTCCTGTCCTGAGTCTCATCATTTTCTTCTGTGCCTCATTCTATGTATGACTTTCACAAATAGTTATCAAAAGTTAAATACTTTTTAGTTACTTTTTACATTTCCTGGTAGTTTTCCATCCACCTCAGTGTGCTTTCTTCCCTAGCCCTGGATCCCATCTCTCCAGGAAAGAGGTTAAATGGATCCTGTTTGTCAACCCCATTCCATTCATTGTATTCTTGGGAAGGAACAGTAGGATGTGCTCAGGTACTTGAGGTAAAACAGGCCAGCCCAAAGTCAGTCCCCTTTTAGGAAATGTAAGCACTTCAAAACAAAACTGAACAGGGACCCAGAACATCACTGCATGCCTTAGACTATTGGTCCTTCCTGTCACCGGAGGCACTGTCATCAGAACATGGTTATTCTAGAAGGACCTCTGAACATTTTCCAAGGTGGAAAAGTTGGTTTTTCTAATATCACATATAATACTGCTTAATCTTAAGGAATTTTCTGATATATCAATTTTTAAATTTAAGTTTGCGGTCCTTTTTTTTAACGTATTTTAGGGTATCAAGGATACTAGGCAGGAAAAATGTTGAAAACCATTGATAGTAAAAATAAGGAAACAATGAAGAGAGGTATTTGACAAAGAAAAGGCAAATTTGGCGTTTACTTTCTCTAAAAGTCTGTAAAAAAAAAAATCAAAACAACCTCTTTTGCCCTTATTTTCTTTGCCTGTAAAATAAAATTCAGAAATTATTCTGAAGGTTCTTTCCTAGTTTTTCATTCCATAATGCAAATAAGTCCCATTAAAATGCTTTTTCCTGGGGACGTCTGGGTGGCTCAGTTAAGTGTCTGCCTTCGGCTCGGGTCACGATCTCAGGGTCCTGGGACTGAGCCCCGAATCAGGCTCCTTCCTGGGCAGGGAGCCCACTTCTCCCTCTGCTTTCCCTCTGCCTGCCACTCCCCCTGCTTGTGCTCTGACAAATATATAAAACCTTTAAAAAAAAAAAAAATGCTTTTTCCTGGCATCATACCACACGAAACAATTACCTGCTGTATTCCCCAGTCTGACTTGAAGTGCGGATATGGGGATCAACCAGCGAAATTTAAATGGGTCCAAGTCGGCAGAGCCGTGTGCAGGCCGGGAATTTGAGGGCTGTAACAGGAAAGCCCCCCAAGAAAAGTGTTAGAGCAAGCTCTCACCCAGAGAGGAGATGTGCAGGGAACGGAAACTTGGAAGTTTTCCCTGTGTGCGAGGCTCCTTGCATCTGTGTGAGTGGTCCCAGTTCTCAGAGATCTCGGGGCTGGGAAGGGGGCATTGGGGCAGAGCCGTGGTCTGGGGAGCACAGACTGCTAGACACCAAGCAAGAATGACAACCAAGCCTTCTGTGTCCTCATTACCTCTAAACAGTAATAACTCTGATGGCTTATGGTATCCACAGCTAAGCTTTTTCTTCTTTTTTTTTTTGAACTAAGGAAAAAGTCGTTTGAAAACAAACCAAAGTTACGTGGTCTCTTACGTGTATGGAGCAAACATGGGCCATTTTCAGGGATATGGAAGCTGATTTTGTGTGTAGGCCCCAGCACGGGAATTTATAGATGTAGATCTTCTTTTAAAACAGACATTGTTTGTGGGGAGAATAATAGCCTGAGTATCTGGTTTGCTTAGTCACCCCGGGAATAAGTCCCATTAGTCCAGTGAGGCCTTGGTTCTGAGCGGGCTTCTCAGACCAACACTGACAGGAGGACAGAGCCATGAAAAGGTAGCTTTAATTAAATGTACTTCTTGTCTTACCAATTTCTTTTTCAGTTTGCAGTTTTCTTTATAAACCAGTATGACAGCTCTCTTAAAAACTAAAGAAAGGAAAAGAAAAAGAAAAGTCTTTCATTATTTTGTACAAACTGTCTTCCAAGGTTGGACTATGGCTTAGAATGTTTTAATAGAACAAAGCTCTTCGAACTTACGAAGCTCCAAGATCCCACTAAACCAGCACAGGAGTGAATAAATGGTGCTCTCCTCTGATATTTCAATGATGCAGAAATGCCTACTTATTTAAAAGCAATCATCTGAAGTAGATCTTGGCGATTTTTTTAAAAATCGCTGTTTTGTTTTATCGAAATCTGAGGACATGGTGTTCATCTTGGTGAGAATACACGGTCTATAATCGGTCTTAGTGAGAATTAAGACATTTTGGAAATGCAGCAAACAATTAAGATAGCAGGTTTCAAAATAGCCTCGGGAGATCTATTCCTGTAACATTTGGCCAGAACCAGTAAGCCCAGCAGAAGGGAGAACAAGATAATGAGTATGCGGAGCGACGGCATCTTAAATAGTCGGAGGCTGGCTCTGTTAAGTCAAAAGCCATTACAGCAATGATTCCAGCTCCTTCTGAAAATCAGAGTTAGCTGGACTGGTGGGTCTAGAAAGATCTTCATTTTCACCAGCCTTTTTTAAGTTTACATTCTTTCAAATGGGATACTAACCAAACACCGTGAGTTCAAGGTCCTTTCTGGCTTTTCCTAGAGACAGAAATGGATTCAACCAGGAAACTGCAGAGTGCATCAGAAGCTCCCCCATGGAAAGTTCTGTTACCTGTATCATAAAAACGGGAGATGAAGACAGGGAGACCCCAGGGGTAGGTTGTCTCATGTTGGACAGTGAATCACATATGTATATGTGGGGATTCCAAGTACATTCAATGTGATTCTTACGGCCCCCGTAAACATGGGGCCTTTAAATAGTATAGATTTTGAAAATATGAGCAAAGCATCGAACTTTGAAAAACAACATAAGTAGAAAGGCATTTTGGTTCAGTGCACACATTATATGTAAATGGACATTGAGGTCCATCCAAAGTGTCACCACCCCGATCCATAAACTACACGGGGCCTGCAAAGATAAAAGTACCAACACTGAAACTGTCACAAAAAATTAAACTCCAGTTGTTTTCTGTTCTTGCCTTTCTCTACTGAAACTACGTCTTCTTACATGTAGACTTGAAAAGCTCAAGATTCTAATTTAGTAATTAACCAGAAAAGAAAAAAATAGAAATTGTCAAATTCCACTTAAACTAGTTCTGTAAGTAAGGAGGTAGCCACCGATGTCAGATATCCGGTTCTTTCTACCTGCTGACCCCACTTCCTGTATTCATCCTCCCGTCAGCTCGTGCTTTCCAGGTACGCGCCCACCTCTGGGCCAAGTCTTGCCTCACGCCCCATGGAAAGGGAGTGGGGAGTAGGGACATAAGCTTAGTGATATTTCTTGTTTTCTTTTTGTACAATGTTAAGGTGACATAAGGTTACATTCTTAAACCAGTATAATGAATTTTATGTTCCGTTTATACTTAAATGGTTTGGTTTACTGCAAGCATTAAGATCAAAAAAAATTTTAGGCATATTCTCGTCTAGGAGAGCCCGAACACGGTGGCCTCGTTTGGAGATCGCCTATGGACGGACGCAGTGAACAAATGCACTTAAGCCTCTCGGAATCCGGCAGTGCCACTGACCTCCTTCTCTGTTCCACTCTGCTCTGCCACCAGCTGGTCGAACACGGTCCCGTAATCCTCGTAGATCTTTTGCATCTCATTGATGTGGCTGGCTACTTTTTCCATTGCCTTTAGTGCCTCTGAAAAATATAAAATCATTATTTTATAAATTTTGTTTAAGTCCTACCAAAAGCCGTAATGAAAAAGCTCAAGATTCAAGCCAGATTCAAGACCAGTTCTTACTAACCGAAGCGTTACTCAGGCATGGCTCACGCAGCCCACTGCAATCCAGTCATTATAATGAAGAACAATAGGACAATCTCCCACCTCCAGGTCTCTTTGAAATGAGGCAAAACACAGGTAAAAAGTATCACTAATAAGAACAGCTAACGCTGATCGAGCACCTTCTATTTGGCAGGTACTATAATGGGTGGTTTATTTTAATCATCTCATTTCATCCCCACAGTAACTCAATGACTGTAGGAGCTGTAATCAATCCCATTTCACAGATGAGGAAACTGAGGTGCAGAGGGGTTAAGTATTGTGCTAGACTTCTAAAGAGAGAAATAAGGAGTAGAGCCAAAACTGAAACCCAAGACTGACTGGCTATCGAATACCTGCCCTTAAATTCTGCCTCTCCTCCCAGGCCAAAGACTGGAACCATGAACAACAGTTTGTTAGCCAAGAACTTACTAATGTCTCTGTAAATGCCCCTAATGACCACAGCAACTGGTGGTATTTATACACGGTGCTTATTTATAACTTTCTACTTGGGCATGTGAGGGACAAAACGATTTTGTAAAAGTCAAAAAGCAAAATTTCAGGTTACCTATAAATTTAGTATTTTTCGTTATTTTGTTCTCCTGATTCAGTATTTTAATTCAGTTTGGAGGCAAGTTTGGAAGGCAATTTTAAATATACCCATTTAAACATCATCTTGAGGAAAAAGGATCTTTTCACATTATTTGAATACTAATCATAATTTGTATCATTTACTTGTAGAATTTAACTTCCATGTAAAAAAAAAATTTGTCTTTGTTACTTATGATACAAAAGTATGCTTGTCATAGAAACAAGAGCCAGTTTAACTGAAACTCTTTTCAGTGTTTATTATTCAGTACTACTAATACTTATTAAAAAATTTGTTACTCTACCCAGGTATTTTATTACAGGTAGACCACCTAGTTTTCACATGCAGAGAACAAATCACTGTATCTCTGATGCAAACACAGCATCCCTTTAGGGGATACTCTTCTTCATCTCAAACTGAGGGGCTCTGTGTATTTGACAAATTGTATCTTAGGCCCATAATTTCTGGGGTTGCAAAAGAAGACACATCAGCCTGGACTGGAAAGCAGAACCTGTCGCTGGGAGCTGGGTTGTGGAGCTGGGCTCTGCCCTCAAGTCCCCACAAGGTGGAGCCTCACCCAATGGATTCGATCAGCAGCACTGGGCAGCGCGCAACACACAACCTCGCAAGGTGGCAGGAAAATAGGCCCCATTTTCGGTTCCAGCAGCACTGTTTTGCTAACCGAAGAGACCCAAAGTAACGGATTTCATCTCTCTGAGCCCAAATACGTTCTTTGAAAAACGAAAATGGAATCTCCCCACCAGAGGGGTTTGGGGCTCCTCTGAGGACATAATTTTGCCCAAGTATTCTGTCCATCTGGAGGGATGGCCATATACCTAGTAGCTCTGTGCACGTACTAAAATGATATCTAAGCTGAAGAACCGTAGTCCTGAGGCAGGTCTGGGAATTTGAAACGAAGCCGGGAAGGGAAGAGGGGCCTGGCAGGCTCAGCGGGTGGCTGCAGTCACAGTCGTCCGCAGCCTGTCTTCTTACCTGTCAGGTGGTAGTGCTCCTCGCTCTCCTGGTCCGTCAGTGACACAAGCTCCTTGAGCAGCAGAGGGTACTTGAGCACCCTCTGAACGGGCTTGATGAGGTAGGACTCCAGGGTGGAGGAATGCTGCTTGGTGGGATTCCGGGCATCCAGAAAAGCCTTGAAGGCTTTATCGGTTTTAGCTACAAGCAGGGGGATAACAGACCCTTAGAAGAGCACAGCCGGAGAAATTAAACCCTATTTCCTTCAGTTTTTAATGGAGTCACAGACCATCCACTTCCACAGTCATCCTAATGCCATTCTTTAGGAAAACCCAAATGCTTCCGTGGGTCAGGCACCCAGCTGTCAACATGGATTCAGCGTCAGAGTTGGGGGGGGTGCAAATCCCATGAAAAGAGGGAACTTACGAGGCTGTCTAAATAGTACAGTCCTCACACCAAAGAGGAACACCAAGCTGAAATGTAGGAATGTCTGATTTTATAGGCATATTCACATGCAAGCCCGAGAGATGGTGAGAGGTGCCTAAGAAGTGAGTTTCAACCAGTTCCTAAAGCCACAAAACAGTCTTATCCAGACCCTACACCTACCCTGCAAAAGAATCATATAGCAAATTAAACGAGTCATTTTCCCCCACCGTCCTCGCACAGATTGTTACTTATTCTATGCACAAGGGGCTATCTTGTTTTCTTGCAGAACAAATCGGTAAGCACTGCAGCCCTCCCCTCCACAGCTCTGAGCAGTCCAGCTCACCGGATGTGACCTTCGGACCGCTACGGGCAGGGAAAGCGACCTGCGTCCAGCGTCTGACGTTATCCAGGGGACACCCAGGACCCCACCCTGTTCGTGTTGAGAGTGCCAATGGTACATCTACCAGTGGCTACTCTGGATGCCACCTGCTGACACTGGTCGGCCATCTGTTTGGAATTCAGCCAATCTGAATGAACCACACCCTTATTTGGGGTTTTGTCACAAAGGCAAAAACCTACAACTCCTAGGACATGTGGTACCATTTTGAATGTGACCAAAGTGGCTGCTGAGATGATCCTTCAGAACTGAGCGAAGCACTGGTGTGCTTTAATTTTACTGTCAGTACGAAGGTGCTCCTAGAGGAAATGCCAACGGGAGTCACATCTCTGTTTAAGCAAAAGTAGAGGAGACAGATTTTGGCTGGGGCTTGTTCACTTGAGGCACTTCGAGACCGTTTCTTAACCTTGAGCCTGTCCTTCTACGATACTGTAAATACCCAGACTTAAACCAAATGGCAGCGTGGCATCAGTGGAATGGGCTGAAGGCTCTGAGTGCTGGGTAACCCTCCACTCGCCTTCCAGGTCGGTCCTGTGGAGAGACTGTGCCTGGTTCTGAGAGGGAAACACTGAAGGGCGACCTTCAGATAGAGCCTATAATGACAACAGAGGAAGGCGCTTGGAATTTAGTTGATGCAACTAAAAAAGTTCAAACAGAGACCTCTCCCCAGACATCGGCCACTGTCACAGGAGAGCGCCCAGGTTCCCTGGCTTCGGGACAGCCGGCAAATCATCGTGGGACAGAAGGCACGAAGCCCTGTCTTTCTAAAGAAGGCGCTCAAGTCCCAGGGGAAGTCGTTTGCGTCCCAGAAACAGAGGCAGCTTCGGCAGGTTCGCGTCTCGCTCCCCGGTTCCCGTGAGCGACTGAGAGAACAGGGGCGGCCCGGTGACCGCTTCTCGAGACGTTCCGACGACCCTGAGGCTCACGTGCACTTCCCTGAGCCGCCTTCCGGCGCCGGAGCCCGCGCCCTGCACACCGCACCCCTGCCGCCCTGTGCCCGCGGCCCTGAGTTTGCCTGCTCCTGGCCCCGCCACCACAGACGAGAATGCCCAAGAAGGGGACAGAAAAACGCCTTCTGGGGGCGGCAGATTGGAGAACTTTCATCTCAGGTGTGTGGCCACGGAAAGCAGCCTCAGGGACAGAATCGCTTCCGGCGAGGCGGCATTCCTGGCTGGGGTGTGACAGAAGCAGACGAACCGCACGTCGCAAAGCTCCCTACAACCCGCGGGCAGCTGAACAAGGTCACGGCTCTCAGCAACCCCCGAATCCAGCGCCAGGCTGGGCCGACAGGCCGTTACTGAAAGCCCAGGCGCTCCGTGCCCCCCCCACCCCCCGCGGGCCACCTCGCACCCGGAGAGGGTGAGGTCCACCCAACGGGCCTCCCTGGGCGTCAAGAAAACGAAAGGCTTCAGTTAAAGCCAACGAAAGAAGATGGTAAGAACGGAGAGGCGAAGGGTGCCTCAGGGACAGGATGTGGGCCACTAGGTGTGAGTGTTTGCCCGGCTCCGTCAAAGCGGCTTTAACTCTAGTTACCGCCCTGCTTGTGAACGTGCTCGTTGCATCCATGGGCTTCCTCGGGCCTAAGGAGGTTAGCGAGAAAGGAAGAAAACAGCAGCGTACGGTTCCTGGGTTTCAGATCAAGGAGTGTGGCCGAAAAAAAAAAAGAAGCCAGAGGTAATTTAACAGCAGAGTGACACAAAGCAGAGAAACATCTCTGCTCTGAGGACACGTGTTCACTGTTACCAATAAACTGAAATAAACTAAGAATTTTTCCCCTACTGCCTGTCAATTTAAAGGTCAAGAACAGAGCATGATCCATTAAAACTGTACTTATCCCCACTTATTAAATGCAAATTTACTGTTAACAACTAAAAAAAAAAAAAAAAAACACAGCTATAAAGGTATGAGCAACTTACCTCGCTCTAGAACCTTCTGTACTTTAATATGATTAGCACAGAATCCGCTGTAGAGTTTAAAATGGTCCGCGTAATAAAGGAAAGAGCCTCCAAGGGAAAACAGCAATTTCTAGGAGGGGAAGGAAAAGTCACATTGGACATGGTTTAATCGGGGTCCGCTGGCTCTGGTGTGGCATCTGACTACTTTGGCGCATCCATGGCATCTGTCTTTCAGATACCAGAGCACTAATGCCTCAGAGAAATCACCAAATGAAATAAAGCCAGGACTGCCCCATTTCCACAGCAGGCAGAGAACAGCCTGGCATCCCCCTAGCAGATCTTGAGTTTGACTGAAAGCCTTCTGGCAGCAGAGCTGACACCACGGGCAAAGGACAAGAAAGAAAGTTCGACAAAAATACATCTGATAACGTGGGATATGAACGATCTGGGAGGATAATCAATCAAGCATTACTTGGGACGGATGCTCTCGACTGTATCCTGCCCTGTCCCCTTTCCACTGTCTTGCACCTTTCCTCCCCTGGAGGGGCTCCTCACTAGTCACTGATGCTCACGTTGGAAACAGGGCTCCATCGAAGAACCACTGACCGATGCTTTTCATTCCAGCGTCACATGACCATGAAGATGCGAGATTAGATGCAGGGTAGGTGCTCCTGCTTCGAGCAAACTCCCTACGTATCGTTCAGCAGATCTGAGCAAACAGTGGGGTGGACGTGCTCAGCCACCAGGCAGACTCTACACGAATTGTGCCACCCAGACTCTGACTACCAGAACCACTCAAGATACAAACATGGCCGGCTTTTACCACCTGCCAGAGGAAAACAGCGCAATGAAAGCACTAAATTTACCTTGTCTACGGGCAAGGGACAGCAATTTCTTTTTCAAGGGAGAGTTCTGCACTCTACCCATTTATTTTTGCCGTAAGCCGAAGTCCAAAATACTTACTCTGAACTGTGAGGGAGTCTCAAGGCTGCTGAAGTCCGAGGATGCTGAAATCCCATCCTCCAGAGTCTCCAGAAACACCTTTTGAAATTCAAGCATCTCTGGCAAACTTCCAAAAAGGGACTCCATCTATATGAAGGCCGGGATCGGAAAGAGGGTATCAGCAATGAAGACCCAGAGACCCCTCTAACACCCAGACACACAGGCAAATCCCAAGCTGTTCACCAGGAAGCAGCAGACGGAAGTAAATCCTTCAAAGAAGGCAGCATATTCACTCCGTGACACAGTTTATGCACAGAGTTTTTACAGCTCTGGTTCTAGTAATTCTTAACCTTATAAATGGATGTAACATTTTCAGGATTCAAACTGGCGAAAAATGGAAGGCAGCAGCAAAGAGCTAATTACTGAGATTTAACATTAACAAGCCATGAATTAAAGAGTGACTTTTGACCACACTTTCTTCTACTAAAAGGACACTGACTGTCCTGCGCAGGTGGACTCCTGCCACTGAGCCTCACGTGACGGAGGCCACGCCTGGGTCCCTCCGACAACCCTTTAGTCCTGGTGTTCTTGGGGGATCAGCAGACAGAACCTCCGGGGAGGTCCACTCACAGGCAAACAGACCAACCTGTGTGTCAGTGCACAGGGGGAAGGGGACGGATTACCTCATCTTGGGTGAGAAAGGTCTCATTTTGAAGTGGCACCAAGTATAGTTCAAAGAGGCAGCTCAGATCCTGGAAGACGGAAGAAGAGAATCTTTATCACGTGTGTCTCCGAAATACCCAAGAGTTTCCAGCAGCCCTGACCACAGCTCCAGACTCCCACCGGGAATGACGGATTTCAAGTCTGGTTGAAATTCACGACCCTGAGGGCGGTTCCTGTCATTTCTGACCTAATTCACAGAGGCTAACGGCACAGTGCACTCAGCAGCCGGGTCGCCTATCCGGCTTGGACAGCCGGTGGCAGAGCCAGGCTCCCTCCGTGGCCGATGCAGCGGGAGCATTCATCTCCCTGCGAGAAGGTGAGTTCTGGTGCGCACGTCTGTCGGGCGTGACCCCCCCGGCCAGCTCACCCCGCTTCCTCCTCTGCCTCAGCGAGCATGGCCCGGCCCCACCGTGGAGCTGAGAGGGACGGGACAAGATCTGGGAAGCTCCTCAACTTCGGGGTTGACGCATGAGCAGAACTTCAAGCTCCCGTATCCGAATGCAAGAAAAAACGTCCAAGGATTAAGAGCAGGCATGATGTTTATAATCTAGGCCGTATTGGAGTCTCCAGTAAACCGGGCTCCAGCAGTGCGGAATAGTGGGAGTGGACGGTGTTTATAAAACTCTTTAGATAAAGGGTTGATTTAATAATCTGAAGCCAAGACCAGGATATAATCTTGTAATAGGAAAGGTTTTTTCCTTCTTATTTATTCTGAAGAATTTTCAGTATGAAAATGCCAGAGGTAATTGATTACAAAGTCCACTACTTTGCTCCCTCATTTCACAGGGGAGAAATCTAGACCTGAAGAGCTTTGTAAGAGCCGAAGCCTCCAGAACCTTCCAGCGTAGGTCCCGGAACAAGTGGACAGGCCTGTGATGCCTTTTCCTGTGTCGCAACGAAAAGCTCCCTGGCCTTCCCTCCCTCACCACCTTCCACGGCGACTGCTTCAGAGCAGGGAGATGCGAGAAGCTACTGAACCGTGTCTCAGCGAACACACCAACGCTGACAGTTCCAAGTTGCATGCAGGGATCAAGGTTAGATGAACAAGAGGTAAAATCCCGTGTTAAATGTCAGCCACAAAAAGAAACGACAAAATAGAAATGGTGTGTGTGTCAATCACAAGAGGCACCCGGTGCTGGTTATTTGGTCAGAGCCAGGGACGGGCTGCCCTCCTTCCTCGTGCCGGCGGGGGCTGCTCAGGACTTACGCACCACGAGCAGGTGGGCGCGGCGCCGCGCCGCGGGGCCGGACAGCTGCAGCCCTAAGAAAACAAAGCGCAGGGTTCTTGCAGGGCGCAGGGTCCTCTCTGTCTAGCTCGCCCAGAACGTCCACCTCAGTCCTCCGCCAGCACCTCGGTGAAACCACCGGCCCGGTGCCGGGTGGCCGAATGGTACGGGAGGACCCCACCGACAGGAGCGGTAGGGAGTCTGAATTCCGCCCTCGCCTCTGCGGGTAAAAGCTCGTGTCCAGCCTCCCTCACGCGGCCGGAGGGTCTCTGAAGCCTCACACCGCACAGCACACAGCTGCTCTGGCAAGGCCATCATGATCACAGGCGGTCCAGAAGCCCAGTCTGGGCTCCCTGGTGTTCACGTCATGTCCCCACAGGAGATACTGGGCAAGACGTAACGGGACATGGAAGGAAACTGTCCACTCTACGGCTTTCCTTTCTCCCCTCGGGACCAAAAGGAGGAGCTCGGGGTAGTTCTACCTGTGAGTAGGCCGCCCGTCAAGTCCAGAGAAAATGACGGTAACACTGACGGAAGGGGAAGCGGAGACTTGTCTTGTGCAGGAAGGAGGTGACAGCCGGGTGTGGGTGGGAGTGGAGGGCACCCCGAAGGCCGGGCCGCCACCCGGGGCCGAGCCTGGTGGGACTCCCAGCCCCCGCCCTGCGCCCCGCTGCCCCTGTCAGCCCCGGCCGAGCCAGCGAGCTTCCAGCAAACACGGAAAGCAGAAGAACCCGGTCTTCCCGGGCTCCGGCATCCTTCAGGAGAGGTTTCTCAAACTACTGACTGGGGTCCTCGGAAACATAAAGGAATTCTTCGGGTACTGAAGTGCCTGGGCACGCACCCCTCTGTGCCGGGGTGGGAGCGGCCCTGGGATGACCCGCTGCTCCGTCGTGGGACCTGTCCCGCGCGGCGACGGCCACCAGGCAGCTGTGGGGGCCGCACCAGCAGCCGCTTGTGAGCAGGTCGCTCCCTGGTTCCTCAGCCCCTCGAGTCCTCTCCAGCGCTCTCCTGCTAAACCCCTACAGACTCCCTTCCCACAGAGCGCAGGTGACAAACCAGAACATCTGTTTCCACAGCAAAAGCTACCTTGGTAACGCAGTGAGCCGAGCACGGATTCTCCCAAGCCCTCTCGGCTTGTGGGCCCTCTCGCCCCCCGCCCCCTGGGCAGCAATCCGCTGCTTCCAGGAGCAGGCAGCTCAAGCACGAGTGCTGGGGTTCCGGGGAGCCCTGCCGACACACAGCTGGCCACCCCCGGGGAGACCGAGCAGGGAAGAACACGGGCCCCCTCCGTTACCTTCACGTAGGACTTCTCCGTGTCCATCAGCTCCTGGATGACTTTTCGGAGGCGATCTGCATCGGAGAGGTGGCGAGCCAGCGGCCGCGGAGGTGGGTCCCGAGGCCCCCGAGGCCCTTCCATGCCGTCGCTCTGCGTGTCGCCGAAACCCCTACACAGCGCGGCGATCTGTTCTGCACTCTGAGGGAGGGCGAGACGGGGGGTCATGTAGGGGACGCGCTCCATTATCACGGGCCTCGCAGCAGGGACACAGCCAGCGGCTGTCTCCGCCCAGTGCGCTCTCGGCAGTGTCACGGGGCGAAAAGCTAGGCCCACTGGTCTCACTCATTCACCCGATGCTTTTCTGTTGTCCTAATAGCTGTGTGGCACATGGCTTGCTGGTACTGAAACTAGCAAACAAGGCGCAGGACTAGCCGTCGGTTTAATAGACTTGAGGGCGCGCTCAAAGCAAGCTTGTGGCTTTCTAAGAGCACACTGAGGAGCCTCCCGGACAGAACAGCCCTGGGAGCCTCCGGAATGGCGTGGCACCCCAAGGATTTTAGGATGGCTTGGCCACAAGGCACTTGCAGCTCTAACCTCAAATCCAACCACGAGCTCTGCAGTCTCACGCCAAGTAGTAGAATACGAGTGAAGAGGTTAGAGGTGCTGCACATGCTGGGGATGGGCGTGAAGGGAGGGACGTCCCCTACCCTGTGGGGTGCAGAGTTCCCCCACCCCACCCCAAGGAGGGCCCCGAAGTGAGCAGGGGATACAGCAAAACCCAGTGAGTGCCAGAGAAGAGGGATGAACCGGCTTGCAGGAAGCTTCCTGATGACAGTGGGAATGGAATCATCCAGACTCAGGGACAAGAGGAGTCAGTCCCCCAGCCGTCAGCGCAAGTTCCTACTTTTAAGCAGAGTAATGGAAAAGGCTTCTCAAGGGGAGCCCGTTTGTAGGGTCCTGCCCGAGGCCGGGGGTTTGAAGTCTTGAATGTGTCTCCTCCCATATGTTTCCACAGTGCTTTGCAGCGTCATCAGATTACACTCAGCGTCTTTTTACTTCTCTTTCTCCTTCCATCCCACCCGCATCCAAGCTCCGGCCCGTCTTACTACCCACCAGCGGGTAAGGCTGTCTGGGGCAGGGGCCTTTCCCTGTCACTGCCCCAAGCGCCCAGCTCAGGGGCCGGAGGCCCAGCCGGCGCCCCGCGCACCTCACCTCCCCTGCGCTGCCGTTGTTCCAAGAGACAAAGCAGCATGGCCCAGTACACGTGACTAACCGCCATCCATCTTTGGCAACTCTCTCGGCTAAAACTCTTCCCTTCTTCAGTTTAAATGCCTTCAGGCCTGATCTCTAGCGCTCTGGCTGGGGCAAAAAGCTGAACTTGGCAGAACCATCTCTTAATGCTCCATTTTCTTGGGGACCTTTCAGAGCACAAACAGCTCACACGAGCGTGTGGGTGACCACAGTGGCCTGATGCACACCGGTTATAAAAGCTGACACCTGACAGATGAAAGTCTCTCGACGCTAAAACAGGACACTCTGGCCCTCCCTTTTTGCCTCCCTCTCTGCTCTACCCTCCACACTGATCTGGCTAATCTTTCAATTCAGTGGGTCTCAACTGAGGGCCCCCTCTGTCTCCAAAAGGAAGACTGGTCCTGCATGAGAGGATGGTCCCCTTGCCAAGGTAAGAAACACCAGAGCACAGCCCAAGGCTCACTGGAAGCCAACCCAGGCTTGTGTGGAGCAAATGAAAGAGTAAGACTCCGTAAACCAACGGGAGCCACTTTGTTGTGTGCGGGAGGCTTCAGGAAGAAGAGGGTTGTAACATGGTCCTGGAAAGCACACGTGTTCCAAGGGAGAACCACAGAAGAGCCAGAAGGACAGTGGGGGATGAGCACTGTAATACAGAGCCCAGCTCAGGGGAGTGAAAGTGGGCCTCCTCTCCCAGCCAGTTGTCTGTGACCAGGACTTCCAGACTGGGGGGGGGGGGGGGGGGGGGGGCGCTCTTGAAATATCATTGTTTCTCTCGTCTTCAAATAAATCTTGGTGCAAAAGTTAGATCAACCACGGAACAGGCACTAAGCTTCCAGCTAGACACACAGACACATATAATACAAAGTAATTTACTTCTCAAACAGTTCAAAGCGTGTGTAAGTCCTAATGATTCTCCTGTGATCCATGCATTATCCACATACACATGCGAACGCAAGTGTCTTTCTGGTAACGCCCGTCAGAAGACATTCATTCCGGGTAAACTCTCAAAAAATAAGAAAACAGATGTGCATCTGAAGGCACCAATCAAAATGCATCTTGATATATCAAAATGTCTCACCTCATGTTTAAAACGACCAAATCTTATGATTCATTACTGAAGGAATTCCAACACTGTTAACGCATGCCCTAAAAGCCTAATGACATAAGAGTAAAAGCCCAACAGCATGGCGCAGCCAAAAGGCGGCTTTTCTGTCTTCCAGGATGTGAACATCATAAAGGAGCCCTGGGGAATACAACCAGACCACTCCAAACTCCGTGCTCCTCCTTTCCAGGGGAGCTCAACCCTGGCCGCACATTAAGCAGTTTCGGGAGCTTTAAAAAAATAGCCATGGCTAGACCCACTCAATCGGTGGGGTTCAAGCTATGATTATTTTTTAAAAGCTTCCCAGTTCGGTGAGCAGCATCTACTTCGGTCTCCAGGAGCAGCGCTGCCTTCCGCCCGATCACACTGTCCCCATGGTCTACAGTGAAGGACGGCCACGTAAAAGGGACGTGGTCTGAGCTCACGAGACAGAGGAAGTAGACAGAATCATACCCACGGCCCTGGTAGTCTGGGTCCAGCCCTCTACGAACTGAGCTAAACAACCGCAGATGATGATACTGAGACTCCCAAACTCACTTATTTGAAATCTCTATACTGGTATTTGCACCACATGCTCAGACAAAATAATTTTGCAATGCTGAAAAATAACAGCTTCCAGGGCTACAGAATCTATATTAAGCTCACATATACTGCACAAAATGCACCATAAGTTAATGGCAGCTGGTGAGCTTACAGCTTTGCCTTGCTGGGATGTCAAAAATCACACCTAACAATGCAGTGTTAAAATAACGAGATTTTAAAAATAAAGTATCTTGCCATTTTAGAAAATCAGAATTCATTTTAAGAACACTTCTGGTAAGATTAACTTGGAAAAGTGAATGTTCAGGGGGATTCTGATAGCAAATGTACTTTTTAAGGTGCCACGATGAAGTGCTCAAATGTGACAAAGTCACCTTTCTCAGGCAGAGCAGCTGAGCTACTGCCTGGGGGAGGTGGTGGCGATTACTTGGCATCAGGAGGCAGGAATTCTAAAAGAAGACGGATTGTAAAGGTGTTTTTACGTTGTATCCACAAGAGTTGCCCAGGTGGTTACGTTTCAGCTTCTCTATTCTTAGTGACAGTCATCAAGGACTGAACTGTTAAAGATAGAATTCTGGGTGTGTCTGATCAGCGAGGTCTAGTAACAGTGACTACTCTGATTGGGCCGTTCTCACACCCAAAACAGGGATGGGGGTGAAAAGCACAAGCGAGGTGCAGAGGACCAGAGTTCTATCCCGGCTCTGCCCCCAATCCTCTGCACGATCCAGGGTAAGGCTCCTGAGTCGACTTCCTTATCGATAGACCAGAAGCAGCATTACCTATCCCATCAAGTCACCCCTCGAACGGCCAACTAGGTCACCGAGAAAAGGGAACTCGCGTTTGCTGAGTCCCTGCTGAATGCTAGACAGACAGAGCTGGCAGGGGTCCTCCCCAATCTGCCGGCACGTAATCCTTACTGGGACTGAGACAACACAGCTGAGGGGCGGGGGCTGTGAGGGCACAGGACCATCTCCTGGCTAGCTCTCTGCAGGGTGCCCGCCCCTCCCGGTACCTGGCAGAGTATGGGGCAGAGCAGATGTGCTCCTCAGCCCCTGCCCCTGTGGTCTTGGCTTCCTGGCCCCCGCAGCCACCTCCGCTTGGAGAAACACCTGCAGCCCCCACACATCCGCAGACAACCTCCACATCTTCTAGGCTGCTCCCACGCCCCACTGCCCCCCCCCGCCCCATCGTGGGAATGCTGCTCTAAAAGCAACAGAGATTTACAAGTCAGGGTTGGGGGTGCGCGCAGATTCGGAAGCTCAGCAGCGTGTGCCTGTGCGGAGAAAGACACCCCAACCTCAGTACACACCTCGGATTAGGACCTTCCAGTCTGTAGGCTCAGTGCTAAGAATTGTGGGTTCACTGTGGGCTTCATTTTTTTATAGGTAAGCGCAAAACAAATATTTTCTTTATGAATTCCTTTAAAAAATTAAATGAAAACAGTTTTCCCAAAAACTGCGCTGTAAGGATACAGCAGTGATACTGACCGAGACAAAATTTTTTCAGGTTTTTAGGCTGACACTAAGGCTGACCCCCGCTTGAAAATGATTTGATCTTATTTATAGATGAGGAACATCTCACTAAAGACCTGGGCATTAAAGTGCTTCAGCGTGCTCAACACACACACACACACGCATGTGAGCTGATGGATACGTTCATTAACTTGACCGTGATAATTATTTCCCAATGTCTAGGTACAGCAAATCATCAAGTTGTACACTTTACAGATACAGTTTTGTCAACCATACCTTGCTAGAAGGAGAAAAGGTATCTGAAAGTCCCTTTTGGTTTTGTTGTTTTAAATGTATGGCTAAGGAGACCTTCTGCTTCCTTATATGAGGGCTGAAATGTGTCTTTCCTCCAGGCACCCCATCTTTCCGCAGTGGCAACAAAACAGCTAAGGATGCTCAAGCACCTCGCCCCGGGGTGTCCCTGGAGGAACGCAGGGGCAGAGCCCCTTTCTCAAACTGGTTCTGAGATGCCCCGTCTGACCTCGGACTCAGTGCAACACTCATTCATAGAAAGCTGTCACACCCCCTTCCTCCTGGTTCAGATTAGTAAAACCTGATCCCCTGGGCATAACAACTTCGACGTTTACTTTGCTCTTACTTGGAGACATGGCTACCTGAGGCGTTTCAATTTTGTCCTAGGAATTGCATCTTAAAAGAAAAGATCACAGTGGGATAAGTACATCACATTGTCCAGAACTAGTCTGAGATTCTGCAGCTACTCCACGGAATATCGGGGCTATTGGGAGCCCCGAGGCTCAGCGGCCAAGCGTGGCCTGGGCTTTCCCGCCTCCGTC